AGCCAAGTCTACCTATTGAACTGTCAAACCGGCTACCTATCGTGCAAAGTAAACAAACATTACGATGCTATGAAAGGTCCACGAAAGGTATTGCAATAAAATATAAAATATGATCGAAGAAATGATCATATACACGCAGTGAACATTGAATCGTCATATGATACGTTTGGTAACGATCAGTAATGAGAATTTCTACTATTTTTTTGTTAAGATGATTGGACAAAATCACTGATATAATGATTTACAACAGGCGCTACTTTTTTTTGCTCGCTAGAAGTCATTTGAAGTTGATGTAGCAGTCCTCTGTTGCCAAGTGAAAAGAAAGGGAATCTTTCGAAAACCGTGATGCGAGTTCAACTGTTTTTCTCTTGGCGTGACTCATTATACACCGACTCTAATTGACACCAAGGCGAATTATTGACAATAATATTGATGATGTGGCCGGCCCCGGTGGTGTAGTGGTAAGCGTGACTTCTTTCTCACCCCAATGGGTCTGGGTTCAATCCCAGCCGAGGTCGGTGGGATTTTTCTGAGGCATAAAAAGTGACACAACAGCGGGGCCCTGTTTACTTAAAATGAACACATGAATAATGCTCGCATAACATTTGAAAACGGATTATCAATTTTTCTAAACAACTTGCAAGGTCCTTTTCACGAGAACCGAAGTATGCTTACGTAAACCAAGAGAACTATCAGGAAGGGGAGAATTTCTCCTACCCGATGGTGTTGTTGGTTTGCGTGGGCGTATTCGGGTCGGGCGAAAAGGGCTTAACAAGTTTTGTGTACAAAAGTTGATAGGCCCGTTTCAAATGTTGCGCGAGTATTATTCATGTGTTCATTTTTAGTAAACAGGGCCCCACATATGTGTTCATTTTTAGTAAACAGGGCCCCGCTGTTGTGTCACTTTTTGTCGAGTTAGTGAACTCAAATCCATCCGTGGACTCGTCAATAAGGACATTCCAAACTAGCATGAACATTTCCTATAAGATTTAGTTGCACATTTTTTAGGGTGCTTCCTCCACGGTAACTCGCAACAACTCAAAATTGAGTCGAACTTGCTCATTTCAGCGGGAAGTACACACTAAGATTATTTTACAGATTTCTTTAAAATTTTACTGAAATCTCAACTGCTGAACGTTTGGTAAACAATTTTACAGTTTTCCTGTAATTATATACAGATATCTGTGAAAAATTCACAGGTATTTGTGAAAAATTACCGGAAATCTGCGAAACTGTTTAGCGAACGGTCAGCTGTTGAGATTTCGGTAAAATTTTACAGATTTCTGTGTAAACTCAAAGGCACACTTTTACTCACTTTTGAGTAAACGACGTTCTCGCGCAGAGTGAGTCAACTCTGTGATATTTTCAGCCGGGAAGTTTTTTAAAATTTGTTTTGATAAAAAATGATTCATTTAACTGGAGCTGAAGACAACTAAAAACCGTCTCCGCATGCTATTACCAACAATCAATACGAAACTAACGATTTTAAATTGGCTCACCACTTTAGTAGCCTATTGGTCCCAAGCAAACGATTAACGTACCCTATTCTAGTTGAAATTCTATTACTACACTATGTTTGTTTTGATTCGCTATGAAAGTTTGACAGATAACATCAGGGGTGTGTGGATTAATGCAGAACATGCAGGGGTGAGTGAAATAGCTTGGGACTGCTTGGGACCGTTGTTCTGGTACTGAGTGAGCCAAAAATAATAATGATTTTCTTCGGGACCCAGTGGTCTTAGAGTTACCTCTATGCTATTACCGAGCCAATTTCTACTTACCTTACATTTCGTCTGGTGTTATACAATAATTTCGGCGTTTCTTAGAGCGTTTGCTCCGACACGGCTGTCATTTTTTCCTGGAGTCCCGGATTTGGCTGACTGAGTGGCTTTTACTCATATTGACATTTCTCGTTTACTCAGATTTTGACAACCTACCCAAGTAACCATAGGCACGTTATTTCGCCTTTTTGGCTATATACGGGCCTCATCAGAACTTACAAACACTGGTATAGCCGTTGTTCAGCTGTATATAGCCAAAAAGGCGAAATAACGTGCCTACACTGAGCGAATTTACCATGTCGTCATTGCATGATTAATCATTCAGAGCTATCCGATTTCTTTAACATCGAAAATAATATGAGATACCCGATTGACTGATAATTGACATTAAATGGGATGATTCATCATACATATCATAAAAGGAAATAACATCAACCACTTAATGAAGTACCGTTCAAATTTTGAAAGGTATTCACAATAAATGAATTCAAGAACAGAAATGAACTAAAATCATTCAAGTGAACCCCATAACGAAAATCATACAACAACTGTTATACGATTAATTTTCTTATCGTTTCAGTCTCCCATTGCGTTTTGGCCTTACCATTTTTTCGCAGTTTGTTGCGTCTCTCTTGAATAGCAGTACACAGTTTTTTCGCATACCACGGGGAGTGTCACCAAAAAGCGAACGAGAAAAAAGTTTTCGGATTCATGTGGCAAAAAAATATCTACTCGTTCCGTTCCCGTTTGATTCGAATGCTTCAGTGCCCGTGGATTGTTCGCGATCCAGCCCCCCCCCCCCTCGAGGAGGTGGTCAGCGACTTTGAGGAAAGCAAGTACCAAAACGCCGAACTGCCTCTTTCGTACTACGGCAAGTCGTCGAACGAGTGGAGTTTTACAAACTGGCCAAGTGGCCATAGACAGAAACGTGTAATCAAAACAACATCCGCTGGTTGATTCAAATTCCTAGACTTCAGTAAGTTACTGGGAGGGAAGTCCTTTGTTTCAAGCAATACGATTCTAACAAAACAAATTTATCTTCCAGTGATATCTTCAAGACCAACCAGCTGATGAGCTCGTTTAGCAGATTTTGGGACAACATTTTCAAACAGCTTTTTGAGGCCACAAACAACCCGAGCCAACATCGTAAATTGCACAAGTTCCTACAGAACGTGATTGGGTTCGATTCCGTGGATGACGAGTCCGAACCGGTGAATCCACTGTTCGATGGGGACGCCAGGGGCGAGGCCGGCCCAGTGCAGCATTTAGTGTGGTTGTTTTATCATAAATGTATAAAACAATTGTTCAGCTTATAAAACAGAAGTGTTTCATTTACAACATTAATTAACAGTTCCAACAATTTAGAAGAGATATATTTCGTTATGATCACAATTTTTAAACAGTAAAATAAGCTTTCTGCTTCCATATATTTTTCATTCAGATTGCACTTATATTTCATTTAAACGTTGCATGACAATTTATTTTGAAACTGTATGACGAGTCCGTATCTTTCTCAATGTTAACCATACGGTTTGTTCATTTCAAGTCTTCCTAAGAATGGATGATAATCATGCTAATGGTTTACAGCGTGCAGAACGAAAATCATCCTGTTTTAGAATTAATGCTATTCAGTTCTTCTGTGCTTTGAGAGCTGAATCAGAGAATGATAATCTTTCACAAATAGAAAAATAATCCGTATGGGGCTCAAGTGAAGCAATAATCATACATTGATGTATGGACAATTTGGTTCAGTGTATGGTTACTTGGGTAATGCTACGTTCAGACTACAGAGTTATAACATGTTATAGCGCTATCTTGATGGTGTTTTCTGTGTTGCAATTATTTGACAACCGTTATAACATGTTATAACTCTCCAGTCTGGACAGCGTTTAATGCATCAGATGAAATTGAGTACAATCGACTCACCCGGTGAGGAAGCTGAAGTAATCGTGTGTTCTTCCATCTACACTCAAAAAATATTGAAATCTAAATAGTATAAAAGTTACGCTAAATCGCAACTCTCCGTACCGACGCAAAGGTCGGTATAAATGGAGAGAATGCAAACTTAGTATAAAAATGGTTTATGCGTGCCATAGTATAAAATCGAAATATACTAACAATGTATAGATACGGTTTAATCGAGAGAATGTCTTTTTCGCTTCTTTATTTTATTTATGGTAATTATTATTGTTTTCAAATAGAAAAATAAAAAATTACTCAGGAAGGTTTTTTAATTATTTTATTTTTTATGAATATTATTTAAAAAATACTTACCATTTCGATGTGCATTAAGATGAACTCGTGCTCACGAGCTCACGCAGTCTAGCTGCCCAGCAGATCACAGGCGCAGTTGAAATCCGCCGGAACAAAGCTCTTCACAAGCGCGAAGCTGCGAAGAGAATCCAAATGTTATTTTTCCTGTCATTTTAGTAAACACTGATCGAATTCCACTCCGTTATTCGGACTTAGTATAATTTTGACGAAAATTTTAATCGAACCAATGTATAAATTTTGAAAAACCATAAAATGCATAAAATTTAATCTATATTCGTTTTGTAATATTTTTGAGTGTATATTTCCAATAAGAAGTACACGGCCAATGAGAACAACCCAAATTTGAGTTCACTGTACCCATAAAAACTTCAGGAACTCAGCGATGAGTTAATGGGCCTTATTACGGGTGTCACTACACGGTGATAAGGAAGTGATACTCAGAATAAGCGCCGTGATTGCCTTACAAATCAAATGGGAATCACTTCACCGTGACGACAAGTGACAAGTTTTCACCGTGAAGTGACATCCGTAATAAGCCCCAATTTGTCTCATATTTTTCCAGGTTTTTTTCAGGAAAAAATCCCAAATAAGATAAAAGTAAAGATTGGATTCTCTCAGTCTTTTGGTACCACTCCTAGACTGAGTAAAGTTTTCGTTAAATTTCCTCATTTTCTGGCAGATTTTTGTGTTTTTACCCAGGAAAACATAAGGCAAATTTAGTCATCGCTGAGTTCCTTCACTTTTTGCGATTATGAGTAAGCTGAATTGAATTTTGGGTTGATCTCATTGGCCGTGCATTCGGTTAGCTGAAATATTTTACACACCTTGTAACATTTCCTATACGAAATATTTCGCTGAGAAATGTCATTTTTGACATTTCCTTTCCGTTTTGATTTCGGTCCTTGTGTGTTTTGACCTGATTGGTGGTCGGTCAGAATCGTAATTATTGATGATTAAATTCGATAGCGTTTCTCTATAGGAAAATTATCTTATCAACTTTGCCACATGCTGGCATTTTGATGCTTCGTCGAGTGCTAGGATAGCTATGAATATCGCAGCCGTGATAGGTGCTACTGGTGATGGTTCAAAACAATGTTCGTTTCTGTGAAGATTTCAGCCAAGATAGTAGCTTCGATAGCCGTAGTTTTGCTGCTCTGTACGATTGCGGTGGTAAATAGTGGAGGTTGGTATGATTTTATTTTTACACTATCGGGTATTTTTTTAGTTTGTTAGTAAATAATCTGTTCAATAATTTGCTTCGGTAGCGAGTAATCTTCACATGTACGATGGAGTACGAACGCAGGACATCATAGCTGGTGACGTGTTCTTTGAGATCGTCGATCCGCCGGAGTTGGAATATACCTACCGGATACGGCCGGCCAAGGACTTTGGAACGTCGTTTGAGGCAGCTTCGTCCAAAGTGACGGAAGGCAAACTGGTTCCGGCTATTCCATCCGATGCCTGTGAACCACATTTCATCAATGAAAAGGACCTGAGGGGGAATATCGCCTTGGTTGAACGAGGGTAAGTAGACAGTTTGGGAGTCGAAGTACCGTTAGATGAAGGCAAAATGGATTGATTTCTTTATGTACTGAGGGAGTTCTTTGAAATATTTAATAGAAAATACTGATCTGGGACGAAATTGGTCAATTCCTCAAATAAAATAAAAAAAAAAGTTTAGTTAGTAATCATCAGACTACAGCGTGATATAGAATATCTTGATATCCAACGTCATACATAGGGGAAATGTATGTAATGTCGGCCTAAGTATCCCTATTTTGGGCCCATACATAAATTCAGCAATCGACTAAATTTTCAATAGCAACCAAAAATATCCATAAGTACCGTCCCAATGACACGTTCATCTAAAGACAATTGATAAATAGCAGATTTTTAGCGATGGGCCCAATCTTAGATCCATAGGCCAAATTAGAGCAATTTCCCCTATTATTTCCAGTGAAAACTAGATGTATGGATGCTGATATCAAGCAGGCTATATCACGTAATATAGGATGTAGTGCCAGCGTTTCTCAATTTATGGGTCGCAACCCACTGGTAGGTCGTGGGTTGCCCTCAGGTGGGTCGCAGAAATTCAGACTTGTTGATCATTTATTTTTAAATTTCATGCTAATTGTATTTCAAATTATGCTGAGATAATAGCAATTGTGAGACTATTTTTGATGTTGTGATGTTTTAAAGGTTATTCGACGTGTTAATGACTTTGGCGTCGATTTGATGTATCTTGAGTGTTCCACGGTCCAGACTTACAGTCGAACAAAGTACGTCTTCAACCGCAAATTTATCGGAGGTTCAAAAGGGGTTTATCATTTTAACAGGATGGGCCGAAACATTCAGGATAAATCCTGATAAATTCAATTTGACTGGCAACTGGCCTGGAATCCCCATAGGAATCGTTCGGAATCACATGAAGCCTCTGTTGAAATTTTCCTGGATGCTCACGGTTTGGGTCATCAATTAATTTATACACAGAAAAAATACATAAAATAACTTATTTGCATTGATTAAGTGTACTCTGCAAAAGCTGAAAAGATTGCAAGTCGCTCCACCTCTCGCCTACTCGTGAATGGGCACCTGCAATGACTTGCTGCAATCCCCATAAGAAAAGTAGTTTGTAACACGTTCTCTAAAGCATTATGCTTATGAGCAGTACAACGTTACTACTCGGTATGTCTGTCTAAGGCATAAAGTGCACAATTAAATCTACTTCCCTTAAATTTACTTGCGTAGGTAATTAGTAGCCGAAAAAAATGTGCTAAGGTTAATTTTTTTTCAAAATCTTTCTCCCCATCCAGAGAATGCTCGTTCCTGACGAAAGCAATAAACATCGAGAAGGTGGGTGGCCGGTCGGTGATCATTACGGAGATTGATTCCAGCTCCGACGACTATGACTACTACATTGAGATGATTCACGACAAGACCGACCGCGAAACTCACATTCCGGCTGCCTTTCTGCTAGGCAAGAACGGGCTTATCATTCGCAAGACGCTCGCCAAGCTCCATCTGCGGTATGCGCTTATCAACTTGCCGGTGAACTTGACTTTTGTTGCGCCGCATCAAATCAATCAGCCACCGTGGCTACAGTGGTGAAAGGGAGAATACGCTTGTGTTAGAATGATGGCGCATAGATACAATGCATTACTGACTCCAGAGTGCTTGAGTGAGATCATCTATCCCAGTGTGATATTTGCTAGAAAAAAAAATGGTATTAATGACTAATGTTCTAAGAGAGACTAATTTTCTAGTCAACTTGTGAGAAGGAAAGAAACGCTAAGCAACAACGGAAGACAATTAAATACTTGCAATAAACTCACTGAAAGCTGTTCATCAAAATGTTTGTTTTACTGGTGTTGGTTGTTGTAGTTGTGAACATTGTGGATCCATCGATGGTGGTTCATGAAATCGATGTCGATTTCGAATTAGTGCTGCAAAAGGGAAAACCGTTACCTAGGTTTTGGACCAGCACTGGGCTGTGTCCTCCAGCGCCGCGGGAGAAAAGTGCTGAATTTTTGCTGTCGGACGATAGCTTACTGAATCTGGAAATAATAGGATCATTGCCAAACGAAGGATTGAAATATGTGAGGATTCATTGGTTGCTGGAAATGATGAGCTTTTCGTAAGTATATTGGACAATTAAAGATGACAGTTTGACACAAGATATATTTTGTTTTGTTTTGATGAGCAGCCGCCACGCATAAATCAAGCAGACCGATACATTGATCATTCTCTTCATCGTATTTCTCTTTTGTTAATAACTGGGTTATACAAACGATTCCAATTTTATTTATAGTTTGTGGTAGGTAGATATTAGATCAAAAAACTTCTTTCTTCGAACGTTATCGTGCTGTTCCAAAGAGAAAATTAATCAATGCTCGATGAACATTTCAAAAAGGTCTGCATTGATCGATTCACTTCATATGTTTTTACATGTCACGGCACTTCAGTAGTTATATATTATTATAATGTGGAGATAAATCTAATCTAACACCAACACAGCGAGTTCTTGAAAGCATGCTGGAAAATTATGAATATATAGTTAGAGGTATATAGGAAAGTTTGAACATACTGAGAGGTAAGCACATATCATCGGTAAGAGACGTGTGTGTGAGAAAATTTGCGAAAAAATCCCACCGGTGCCCTTAGATTGTTTCGCAAATTTTCTCACACACACGTCTCTTACCGATGATATGTGCTTACCTCTCAGTATGTTCAAACTTTCCTATAAACAATTAAATTGACTGCAAAGTCGCTAAACCGAAAATCAAAAAGTTAGAGGTATATTCATAATTTTCCAGGATGCTTTCAAGAACTTGTCTACCTATTTGATATATGATACACATCACAGATGCGCAACCTCGTTTGCCAAACCCGCTGTGTATGTATGTATGCATGTTTGTAAAGGATACCACTAATTGTTGCAGGGCACTGGACTGTCCACCTAGTATGACTTGATCAAGTATTATACCTGGTTATATTCAATTTACCATTGTATGAAGGGCCAAAAACGGAGGGTGGACCCGTAAGCAGAGACACTTACGAGTGTTCCACGGGAACAAGAAGAATCTTCTTCCAATGATAAAAATGTTCCAACTCGATACAGATCAAGCCATCATACGAGGGGATATCTCAATGAGTAGGGAGAACAGGAAGCTGGCAATTCCACGCTCCCACACTCCCCATTTCTATGTTTATCTATAATTAAGTAGAATATAATAGCGAATTCGTTTATTATACAGTTCCAACCTGGACCGGGTATCAAGAGTGGGCCTGCTTGTTTTCTGACAAACGTCAGTTCGATCGTTTGTTTTTAAAACCCAGCTCAGGTTGAGGTTCGCGCTGACAAAAAGTTCGGTTTCGCACTGGTTCCAACCCCGATAATAAACGAATTCGCTATAAGAATATAATCGAAGACAACATACCAAGAAGACTGGCAACTCTTCCATTTTCTCATACAACCAGTATGAGATAGGCACAATCGCGTCATCTGCCGCACAAAGGTAAATGCTTCGAACGAATTTGGTGGCACAGATTACAACCACAGAGGAAAGGTTTGGGTATTTGCTCTTTTTTCTATACGTTGCTTCCATCTGTCGCTTGTCGTTGGCAGTCTTCTTGATATGATGTCTTCGATATAATACTACCCATGATTTTCTGCTCAGTTAGCAAAAACGATCCGAGCATCTCAAAAGCACAACACTCCACGTCAAAATATGATTAAGTTTCCACTAGGTATGTAATGAACAACATAGATACGCGATAATTCATATAGGTTCTGTGGTTGATGGTTAATTTTTAATACCTACTAATGTCGGTCCACCGAGCACTCGAAAAGAGCGGTCCGTATGTACATCATTGAATCAATGTAGAGATTAATATGAGATGGTGTTATATGCAAAGTGCGACAAAAGAATGAAATAAATACGAAAGGGATTAGTTGCAATAAAGGGTGTCCACGGTGAAATTGCCACACTATGAAATTGCTCTAACTTTTTAACCGTTGGGTAGAATTTAATGAAAATTTGGGTGGATTTAGTTCATAGTGCATTATTTACATCCTGCAAGTTTTAAAGTCCTGTGATCAAAACTCGCGGAAATGGAGTCGAAAGAACAGCTCGTGCGTGATAAAATCTTGCGCATTCATCACGAGAACAAGGATCTCTCGCATCGTTCCATCGCTAAAATGTTGGGAATCGCGAATTCCACGGTGTCGCGAGTGATTAAGCGGTTCGAGGAACGGTTGACCACCGATCGGAAGCCCAGAAGTGAAGGAAAAAGTATTCCGTACAACACCAAAAATCACAACCGCGTAGTTGGGGCCTTCAACCGAAATCCGAACGCCTCCGTTAGGGATGTGGCTAAGAAGCTGCACCTAAGCCGAAGTTTTGTCCAGAAGGCCAAAACTAAGGCTGGGCTTTGAACGTTCAAGGTATAAAAGGCCCCTAATCGCGACGAGAAGCAGAACAAGTCCGCCAAAACCCGTGCCAGGAAGTTGTACCTCAACATGCTGACGAAAGTTGAATGCTGCATCATGGACGACGAAACATATGTGAAGGCCGACTTCAAACAGATCCCCGGCAACCTGTTTTTCACGGCCAAGGATAAGTTAAGCGTTCCGGAGCATGTCCGCACTCAGAAGATGTCCAAATTTGCGAAGAAATTCCTGGTTTGGCAAGCCATCTGCACGTGCGGGAAGCGGAGTGCACCTTTCGTGACCCAGGACACGATGAACGGACAGGTGTACATAAAAGAGTGCCTCCAGAAGCGGCTGCTTCCTCTCCTGAAGGCCCACAACGTCCCAACAATCTTCTGGCCGGATTTGGTCTCATGCCACTACTCCAAGGACGTGCTGAAGTGATATGCGGACAATAAGGTCAATTTCGTGCCGAAAATGTTCAACCCTCCCAACACTCCGGAGCTCCGCCCCATCGAGAAGTACTGGGCGATTATGAAGCAGCACCTTCTTAAACGACCTAAGGTAGTGAAGACAGTCGAGGAACTGAAGAAAGTATGGGTTTACATGCAAAAAACGGTTGATTCGCAGGTTGTGCAGAATCTTATGGCCGGGGTTAAGGCCAAGGTGCGGGCATTTGCGTATGGACTGTTAATAAAATACGAGTAAAATGGTAAAATGAAGTTTAATAGTTATTTCTCAATCCCTGAAAATTTGATGGCAATCGGATGAAAACTCGAATTTTGCGAATCAATTTTGTGTGTGGCAATTTCATCGTGGACACCCTTTAAGTGACAGTTTCATCGGATTCCCCAATTAACCATACCCAAGCAAAGTAAGTATACACAAGCTATATTGCGACTTTATGGTTACTTGGGTACTCATATGGCCGTCAGAATGGTTCATCGTTCGCGAAGTGAAGTATTTCTGAAAGTGATGCGTTATATTTATCCATGTTTTGATTTTATCCTAACGTTACCTAAATCTTATGACACAGACAAACAGACACAACACATTGAACATTTCTCAATGAAAACACTACCGCCATCTGTCGTACACACTCAACAGATGGTTTTAGTGTGTAAATGACAAACGTAAGGGTATTGATTATGCGGTACTACCAATAGTTTTGAAGAAGTGTTCCTGCTACCTAAAGCTACAACAAATTTAAACAGCACTTTTCAGTGCTCAATATACCTTTAAATTGTCTACATTGTTTGACTCTTATTACTCTTCGATCCTTGTTTGGACCCTACCCGATGTAATCCTGCTTGAATATCGATTTGGAAAATTCCTCTTCTATCCTTCAGATTCTTATAATAATCTGTTTGGAAGTCGAGTACGATACAAGTTTTACTGCTGCCATGGCAAAAGAAAAGGGCAATCTCTTGATCACCCTTCTGATGAAATTAATTCAACCAACCAATTTGATTTGCTCTCGGATGATGAGAATGATCCATCATCCAGGAAAAATTCTAGTAAACTTTCCCGGCTTAATGCCAAGAAAGAAAAGATTCCCCCTATTGTGATAACCACTTCCGATTTCCATGCTCTTCGCTCGGAACTTTTGAAATTCGTGAAATTCAAGTTTTCACTGCAAATTGGCCGTCAGGGTGAATGCCGTGTATTGGCTGAAACCTTGGACGGATGCAAACGTCGTCTCAAGTATCTTACTGAGAAGCAGCACCAATTTTTTACTTACGACACCAAAACTGAATGTGTTTTCAATGTTGTCATGAAATGTATGCCCAGTGGTGAATCTCTGGATTAGATCAAAGATGAACTGGCAAAATTACTTGGAGTTGTGCCAGTCCAAGTAATCAAAATGAAAGTGAAATCCCGTCCTGGCGATTCACACAACGGGATTTCTAATGATTTTTATTTAGTTCACTTCAAGCCTAGTGAACTAAAAAACCTTAAGGCCTTAGAAAAAGCTAGCCTTATGCTCCATGTCCGAGTGAAGTGGGAACATTTCAGGAAGACTGGAGGAAATTTATTTCCAAAATTTCGCCCAGTGCCGTAAGTACCAGGGATGGGCTCACGGAACAAAAAATTGCTACATCGCCCATCCAATTTTTGGGAATGTAAGATGCGCAAAGCGATCCTATAGTCTCGTTCTAAAAGTGCGGTAGAAAATTGACCTAGCTTCGGCTGGACATATACCAGAATTGGAACGATACAGAGAAGATTAGCATGGCCCCTGATAAATCGTGCATTTTTACCTGATTTCGCTGCTTCGGACCGGGCACACCAAACTATACTATAACTATGGTAGCCTGCCGTTCCGCAGAAGCTGCATCATCTGCAGGGTACCCTACACCGTCGAACACATCCTGTGCAACTTCCCGGAGTTCCAACATCTTCGGGAGTCTCTCTGCCTAACCCCCAGCATCAGGGATCTGCTCGGGAATGATACTCCGGCCTCGGCAGCACTATTTAACCTTCTTAAAAGAAGCCAAAATCTACCACTTGGTATAGCAGGAATCTCTTTCGGCCGTCGGGACATCTGAGCTGGATGGATTTCCCCTATTGGACCCATGCCAGCTGAGCTCTGTTTTGTTTGGATTATTCGTTTGTAGCTTGTCTTAAATCATTTTGTTTTCTGTTGTGCCTCTGTTAAAATATTTTATATATTTTTATTTTTTTCCACATAATTTAAAGAGCAA